ATACGGGGAGTAAAATAAAAAGTTCTCGAGTACTTTCAGCTTATTATGAATTACACACATCATAAATACACTGTAAATACAATTATTTTATTGGCTAAATGGCTCTCGCAGTCTCTCTCTCTCTCTCTCTCTCTCTCTCTCTAAGCGGAAACTACGATAATTTGCATTAAGAGAGTGGAGAAAAGAAATGTTTTTTTCTCGTATATATATATATTTTTGACACAAAAAAGTTAGGGATCAATGCATACCAATTGCGGAGCACATCATATATTGGTATAACTGATATATGTTTGCCTTTGGATATTTCTAGTGTAGCTAGGATAGTGAAATTAATTTTATAATTTAGGTTAACATTCCTAGGCATCAGAAACCAAGTTTCATAAAGATCGGATGATTGGTGTTTGTACTGGAAATTTTTAAACGAAGTCAGGCAGAATAATGTATTCCACAACCCATCATCAGTTTTATAAGCATTTCAATAGCACTCACAGAATATTTCACTACTCTTTTCAGGATTTTATTTTAATTATGTTTACTCTCTCTCTCTCTCTCTCTCTCTCTCTCTGTCAGCAGAAAATATGGTAATTTTTTCACACAAAAAGGAAATATACTATTCTTTTTCTGTGCCCATAAAAAACTGGTTGTCTATTAATATATAACATAAATACTATTCAATATATAACTACTTGTGTTTTGTAATGCAATTCGTGGCGAATATGTGTTACAAAACACTGACACACAAAACACTGTGAGTTTTATTATGATATTAATTATTTATATAAATAAAGAAAAAAAAACACAACTAATCATTGCCTAAGAAATGGAAATTTTTAAGTTATAAAAAAGCATTAAAAGCGAGAGAATAAACATAATTAAAATTAAGTCCTGAAAAGAGTAGTGAAATATTCTGTGAGTGCTATTGAAATGGTTATAAAACTGATGATGGGTTGGACAGAGGGGTGGCGGCGGTGGTGGCAGTGCTGGTGGTTTGTGGACAGTCATCCATATCGGTAATGAAATGGTGGCACAAAACAATGGGCCGATGTTTTTATACACACATAATAATAAATAATTTTCTATTTAATTGTTAAATGATTGGTGAAGAGTGAGAGAGAGAAAAAAGAGAGTGGAGTGTAGTATTCAGTGTTAGACTTAAAGGTCTGTCGAGTGTATGAATAAACACAACACAAGAATAACATACAATACATATACACACAGAATATAATACACACACAGAGAGAAAATACTATTCAATATATAACTACTTGTGTTTTGTAATGCAATTCGTGGCGAATATGTGTTACAAAACACTGACACACAAAACACTGTGAGTTTTATTATGATATTAATTATTTATATAAATAAAGAAAAAACACAACTAATCATTGCCTAAGAAATGGAAATTTTTAAGTTATAAAAAAGCATTAAAAGCGAGAGAATAAACATAATTAAAATAAAATCCTGAAAAGAGTAGTGAAATATTCTGTGAGTGCTATTGAAATGCTTATAAAACTGATGATGGGTTGGACAGAGGGGTGGCGGCGGTGGTGGCAGTGATGGTGGTTTGTGGACAGTCATCCATATCGGTAATGAAATGGTGGCACAAAACAATGCGCCGATGTTTTTATACACACATAATAATAAATAATTTTCTATTTAATTGTTAAATGATTGGTGAAGAGTGCGAGAGAGAAAAGAGAGTGGAGTGTAGTATTCAGTGTTAGACTTAAAGGTCTGTCGAGTGTATGAATAAACACAACACAAGAATAACATACAATACATATACACACAGAATATAATACACACACAGAGAGAAAATAAAAAGAGAGTGGAGTGTAGTATTCAGTGTTAGACTTAAAGGTCTGTCGAGTGTATGAATAAACACAACACAAGAATAACATACAATACATATACACACAGAATATAATACACACACAGAGAGAAAATAGTGGGGCCTGTCGTCGACGTCGTGGCCGGGAATACAGGGGCTATGTTTCGGTTGTGTATTCCAAGGGCACCAAAAGAGCGTGAAATATACGCTTGCTTTTTGTGAACAGACGTGGATGACCCTACTCTCTCTCTCTCTCTCTCTCTCTCTCTCTCTCCAACTTTAAGACACTTTATATTTTTTGTCTGCACATTAAATAACACATGAATAGCATATTATGTTATTGTGGATATTTAGTACTAACACAGGCATAGAGTGTATGTATAATGTTATTATGAAATTTTGTTGTGTTCACTATTTTTTCAACAGAAATAAAAAGTTGACAAAAAAGAAGATATTTTGAAATAAATAAATCAAACGAAACACACCATTAAAAGAGGGATTTCTCGTTAAAAGACGTTATTATAACGAGATATGAATATATGGTCTGATATAGCAATGCGACCGCAAAAACAAGTGCCAGAGATGTGTTGCCTTCAAACTTCTCGTTTCAAAACAGTTGTGTTGTGTTATGTGTTTGAAACACAAGTCACACAACACTCGCAGAGCACAGCATAATATTCAGTGGTATAACAACTGCCTTGACTTCAGGCCTGAAGAACCAATGATAGCGACGCCTGAATATAATGACGATAAAAAAAAGTTGCTTTTTCTAAATCATTAAATTATTAGGTTATGCCTTATTATGCATTGTCTTCCACTGCTATTCACTACTTATTAGGTCTCAGAGTATTGTCTTTTGATTGTCAAACCAAATGACAGGACTGTCTCTCAAACGAAATCAATTATTTCCTATTCTTATTGCGATTTTAAATCAATATTTCTTAATACAAATCTAGATTCAAAGACAATACATAATACGTTATTTTACAACTTTTAATAGTGTGCTCATGATCAATTTTGCAGACAAAATAATGTTTATAATTAAATAAAGAAGCGCAAGGCGTCGAGGATTTAACCATGATACCTTTACCATTGAGGTGAACAGCCCACACACAACCCATTGTAACCTTTTATTTAAAATATTTAATTATCCTTTTAATTAAATTATGCTGAATTTTAAATAATTAAAATTTACTTAATTTTACAAAAATAATGTAAATTATAAATGAGTTGACAATGAAATGATATTAATTGTATATTTTGGGATTTTTGCCGAGTTTTGCCGAGTTTTGCCTTTTGGGTCATACTTTGCAACAATAAAAGTGAAAGTTTATTATCCTTTAAATAATTGTTGAATTATTAAAATAAATTTCAAACAGAAATAAATCCATGATTTCTTTCCTTACATGTATTGATATAGAATGGGGTCTATTATCCGCATTATTAATGTGTATAACAAGCCATTAAATTAACCATAATATAAATTACATCAAATATTAAAAAATATATTTTAATTTCTTTTTAATATATGAAGAGATATTAGCGATAAAGTTATACTTTAAGATAAAGCAAACAATAACTTCCTATACATGCAAACTATGATATCGTGTTATTAAGTACTCAATTTACCAAATGTTTTAAACAATTAAAATTATTAATGTCTTAATAAATTAAAATCTTCATAAAATGTTGAATAAATTCTCAATTAATATAATTTAGGGTTTAATTATATTTGATATTTAATGCAATAAATATTTTGCAGAAATAAATTTATAGCAATAATTTCAAAAACAAAATCTGGAAATCATCGCACAATTGACATCATTTGATTGAATGTATAAATAAATGATATGACACTCACTATAAGATTAATCCCATATATTTTAACGACAAAATTAATTAAATAAAGTCTACAAATGATATTATGATTTATATTTGAATTATAAAAACAATATTTAAGGCAATAATTGTAAAGATGAGGGTTTCGTTGAAACCTCTCTGTCATCGTTACAATAAAGGTCTTAAAATAGACTCAAAACATCATTTCTTCCTCAATAAAAACATTTCATTCAATACTAGATTTAAAACTCATTATAAGTGAACATATTTTAGATTTTCATCACAAGATTCATATACAGTAATAAAAGAGAAAATTACAGAAAATTTTCCAAAAAACAGATTTTTATGTCATTTACTATAAGTCGAGTTTTAAAAATTAAACAAAATTTTATTTATTTAAGTATTTGTTTTTTGTTATTGTTTTCCTTAATAACCGATAAATACTTGAAATTTGGATTTGAAATCAATTTTAAAATCCAAAAAGTAATTGATTAGAAATTAATTTAAGTAAAAATCAAACAAAAATACAAATATAAGGCTATAATTTAAACAAAATCAATGCAATCATTATTTGTAAACAACTTATGTTTTATTATTTTTTGATTTATAATAATTTACCAAAAAATATGACAACGAAAAACAGATTATAAATTCAGATACAAATCTTTGTTACAATTAATAATTTGGATAAAAGACTACATAAAACTTTAATTTAACAAGATTAAATTTGCAAACATTTCAACTAAATTATAATATAATTGATGAAAATGACTGAAATATAAAGAGCCGACCGTTATATTGAGTTTAAGTTCAGTTTATTCGCCCATTTGTATGAAGAATAGGCAAAGACTTTTGAAGTGCTGTTAAAGACAAACGCAAACTAAAAGTGATTGAAGAGAGACTACAGACGACCTGATTGTGGCTTTTGAATGATAAGTGATGTGAAATCATATTTGGAAATGACATCAAAAAACTATTGTAACACACATTTGGAGCAAATAATTGAATTGCATTCCTATCGGCGTTTACTTTCTCTTCAAAAACATATCCTTAATTTGACTCTTTATTTGTTTGTTTGTTTTGTTGGTAATAAAAAATTATTGTTTTTCAAATAAATTTTATTAATAATTATCGATTTAAAGGCGCAAAAATAAGTTTATTTATTGATTTCCATGAATACGTCACTTATTTATTATATCGATAACGATATCAATATTTTTAGCCAAAAGACAGGCCATAGAAATGTCAATAAACGAATTATGAGATTTCCAATCATTTAATAAAATCAAATCAAATGTTTTCAACACAAAAATTTTCCACAAAACTTTTGGCAATTATTGTCAGTTTATTTGCAATTTATGTGAGCAATGGGTCTACGAGTCGGCCAAATATCATAGTGTTTGTTGCGGACGACTTAGGCTGGGGTGACGTGGGTTTCCGATCGGATCAGTTGCTGACGCCTAATGTGGACACACTATCGGCGGATGGGATTGTATTAAACAATTACTACACTTCGCCGGTGTGTTCCCCGAGTAGAGGGGCTCTACTGACTAGTGTTCACCCGATTCACAGCGGATTACAAAACTATGTCATTTTAACGGCCTCTCCCTGGGGGTTGCCATTGAATCTCAAAACTTTGCCACAATATCTCAAACATTACGATTACAGCACACATGCAGTCGGTTTGTAATGTTCATTATGTAACCGATTAATTCATTAATTGATTTGTTTAACACAATGTAAACCATAACTAAACAAAAAATTTAATTTAATTCATAACTAATTGTTAATTGAGATGTACTTGTGAACTGCCATGGTCGATTTAAGTCAAAGCCATATATGCAGTGTTAAATTGAGGTATAATTATACGGCTTATCAATTGATCAGAAAAGATTTCTTTTGCATTAATTTGACTCAAATTAAGTCTCAATTATAGTAGAGATTTGAGTGTTTGATATCATAGTGTGTTTGCATCCGTCAATCTGTCTATTTTAACGACTGATTCATTCATAAATTAAGCAAAATTATTGATTAGTTAATCAAATTTAAGGCTAACTAATTGAAGTCAATCACTGGACCCGCAGTTAGGAGTATATTATTGTAAATGAACTCCTCTTCAGCAAAAAAAATAAAAATCCATTAAACAAATTACAGTCAAAGCCATAAAACTAGTGTTTAAGATAAATATTGATGCTTTAATTTTGATGAATTATAAGGCAAATGGCATTTGGGTTTCTATCGACACGAATTTACTCCAGTGTATCGGGGGTTTGACTCTCATGTGGGCTATTGGTCCGGTTCTGGAGACTATTTCGATCACACGGCCCTCGAAGACAAACGCTTCTGGGGTCTCGACTTCAGACACAACTTGGATCTCATTACGAACGCCACCGGAATCTATTCAACCCATTATTTTACGGACAGATCTCTGCGGATAATAGTTGACCATAACGTGTCTCAGCCATTGTTTCTATACGTGGCCTATCAGGCCGTTCACGGGGCCAACAATTACGCCCGACTACAGGCCCCCCAGAAGTACATTGATATGTTCGGTCACATTAAGTCCACAGATCGGCGGATATTCGCCGCAATGGCTTACGCTATGGACGAGTCGATCGGACTTATAGTTAACAAATTGAATGAACAGAAAATGTTGGAAAACAGTATTTTAGTGTTCGTTAGCGATAACGGCGGACCCGCCAGTGGTTTCACAGGTCTGACAGACATATAAATAATAATTACTGTATTATTACGTTATTATGAGTTCATAGCCAGCAATGGTTATGAAATTTAAATTTGTTTAAATTTGATATTCAATGTTTGCATTGAATTTGTAGGAAACGCTGCCTCCAATTGGCCTCTAAGAGGAGTTAAGGCAACGCTCTGGGAGGGAGGTTTGTGTTACGATATACTAATTATATTGTTTATTCAATTTTGGGAAATTCATCTCAAGATCTCAGAGCTCTTAAAAATTCGTGCCATCAATGACTTCATACATGGCTCTCTCTCTCTCTCTCTCAGGATATTAATTAAATAATGACTGTTTTTATGTGTGTTTCTAATAAGTAGAGTGTTTTATACTCTCTCTCTCTCTCTCTCTTATTAATTAAAGCACTAAATTTGCATTAAAAGGCATTAGAGTTCCGGCATTTATTTGGAGTCCTTTACTGAACAAAACGGGTTACGTCTCCAACGCTTTGATTCACGTCTCAGATTTATTGCCCACTATTTTGGACGCTATCGGCGCTCAGCATCTCATCCAAAACACAACAACAAAAACTCCGATTTATGGTATGTATAAAACACTCTACTTATTAGAAACACACATAAAAACAGTCATTATTTAATTAATATCCTGAGAGACTATAAATAAGTTTGAGATTAAAGTTTTGGATCAAGAATTGCGAAACTAATGAATTGATTAATTGAATCTCTGAATGAAACGCAATCATAAGGTGTATCGCAATGGCAAACACTTTCAAACAACGGCCGGAGCGCCCGTTCAGAGCTCGTCCATAATATCGATCCCGTTTGGAATGTGTCTGCCATCAGATCCGGCGATTGGAAACTACTTCAAGGTCTGGTGTTTGCCAATTGGTCCCAATGGTACCCACCCTTTGGACACTCGCCTCAAGACCTCACACGTCCATTACTGGGCGCTCACGAATCGGTCTCTCGTTTCCAATCGATCCGCGATTGGCATCGATTTAGTTGTCAATCAAATAAAGTTCTCATGCGTTTGAAAAGACACCCAAATTATGATGTATTGAGCGATAGTATTATCGATTGCGGACCGAAACCGGCCAACGCTTCCATCAATTGTAAGCCTGATATTGATTTATGTTTATATGATGTGAGGTCTGATCCGTGCGAATACCATAACGTCGCCAATAAATATCCACAAGTGGTTAAACTTTTGTGGAATAAATTACTGACGATTAACGAAACGGCTGTAAATCCTGGAACCAAACCAAGTGATCCCTCATGTGATCCCGCGCTTCACAACTATGCCTGGAGTTGTTGGAGAGACTCGCAGGGGGTTCAGCATTAAGGGGGCCGACAGATAGTGGGGGTTCTATACATGTGTATGTCTTACATATTTCGCAACAAAAAACTTTTATTTAATTGTAAACTAATAATAAAGTGATTTGTTGGCAGAAAAATCAAACACTAAATGAATTGATGTCAAATTGGATATACATTTTTTTCTGTTCAGTTAGAATACAATATAAAAATACAAAAACTAATTATAAGTTAGAGTGAAATAAAGAGAGGAGAGGCTCTAATGATTCAACAGATAATTAAATCGATTCAAAGCTTGCATTATATGTGTTGTATGTATTGAATACAGAAAACAAGTCATTGAATTAGTAGTCATTTAGAAGAAAGCCTTGATTTCCAGTCAAAAGACTCGAAGCGGAAAAATGCAATCTTTTTTATATTAATAGCTTCGCCAACAAAATAAATACATAAATGTTTTATTTTTTGTGAGTATTTCAAGGATTTTTGTTCACAAAAAAAGTTTTCTCGATTTGTATACTTAAATATATATCGTTTTGTAAAATAATAAATCAAAAATATAAATTAATTTCTTGTTCACAATTTGGTTGGAGTTATTGTTAGACTGTTTTTCACATTTATATTCTGTAAATCATATGAAGTAAATGTAAATCTGAACACAGGTTTTGGGCTGAAATATATCAACAGTTAGTCTCCACTAAATCCTAAACTTATAAAATGATGTAAAATATTGAGTTCAGCGTCGACTTCAAGCTCAAGGTATTCCCCATTACTTCTAATTATGGTTTGAGTGAAATAACACAAAAAAGTTATCAAATATAAACACTCTTACCTCTAATCAAATATTTAATACCTTTTTAGACAAAACAATTTAATTATGTTTTGAAACCATGTTTTTGCATACAATTAACAAAAGTCACTGACAAATAATAAAACGCTTCTCTATTTGACAAACAAACAAAAGAGAAAATATATATTTATTGCGAAAAATACATATTTAAGGAAACAATTAATTAATTCCTATATAAGACTAGTGAATATATAAACAAAATGCGAATATATTTCTTAAATTATTTAACAAACAAACAAAAGAGAAAATATATATTTATTGCGAAAAATACATATTTAAGGAAACAATTAATTAATTCCTATATAAGACTAGTGAATATATAAACAAAATGCGAATATATTTCTTAAATTATTTAATGTTTTTAAATATATATTTATATTTAGAGAGTATTTAAAATAACGTTTAAAATTAATATTAAATATGTTGTAAAGAAGAGTCAGTTGTTTTGTTCAATAAGACTAAAGCTATCGTCAAACTCTTGGCTTTCATTGAATGCGTTGAAAGTAACTAAACAACGATCGTTGGGAAACATAACAGTCGACCGATCCGTAGGCATCGCGGTCTCCACTTTGGTCCACCTCTTCGGCGGCCATATTATGTACAGACATATCGCAGATATCAGTCC